TTTGAAGTCATATCTCAAGTTTGGCACATATAAATTCGCTCAAACTTGCTCAGATTAATCGTCTAATAGCCATGTAACTATCTGGGGGGGGGGGGGGGGGAGCCAAGTAGATTTTTGTAGATATTTGTAGATTAATTATTGAAAACGAACTAACAAAAAGAATGACACGTCATGCTAAAATACATATTCCGAAGTAAGATTAATCCCAGAATAATTTTTAGCAACTTTCAGACACGTTTTCAAACATAATTCAACAGCTACAGACAACTGCTGTAAGGAACTATTTCTTCCAGATGTAATGAATCGAAATTTAATAGGGTCCTTGTGCATTTTTGTCGTACCATACAGATATGGAAGCTTTCTATTCTCAGACTTGATTTTAATTCCATGAGACTTGAGGAAGTCTGCATGTCTGAGAATGATTTCAGGATCTTGTTAAGGTTGATATCCTCAACATATTTATTAGTGTACTGAACTACCATGTAATTGTTACTTTTAGGTTGACTCTTCTTTGACCAAACGTATTTACATCGATACAATTAGTATAATGTAAACAAACAAAACCCCGATTTACCACGAACCCCGATTTACCGCGGATGTTTCCTTTCCCCAAACTCCGCGGTAAATCGGGGTTTTACTGTATTTAAAAAGTTTCGATTCCGCAATAATTTCCGTTCACAAATTAGGTGGGATCATGATTCATACATATCAAATTCTGCATACATGTATATATTTATATTGTATAACTCAATCTATAGCATATAATAAGACGGGTGTACTCATCAATTAATTTGGTTTAAACACTACTTTATTTAGGTCCTTATTATATTTGAAATCCGAATTGAATATTATTTATGAGAGTCAAATTTCTGTTGATCCCACGTTTGATTACGATGTTGTCACATTGAAACGTTGAATAATTCCTTTCCTTCTTATTTTATTTTTCATAAATATCTTATCATAAATATCTTATCAGGAGCAAAGAAAAACAGTCCTGGCTGTCCAAGAACCCTAACAGGGCTGGAACACACAACCATGGTGATAGCAGGAAATACAACAAGCAGTGGCGTAACAACAAAAAGAACTAGAGGGATAGAGCAGGTTACCACTTCCTGCAAAGAAGAAGAATAAAAAACATTCCCCCCCATCTCACGTGCAGGCAGATTAAAAATCTTACTGTTATCTATATTTTGAGACCTCATGTGGCGTGTTTTTCTGCTTTTTATACTTATAATACTAAAGATTCTGCAGTCTTAACTCTTATACTTTTCAAGTAAAAATAATTGACTTCGGTAAAATTGTAATATGCCGACTCGCTATAAAGGTTTAAAACATGAGTGATTGTTGGTTGTAAAGTGCTAAGTATTTTTCCTTCTTAAATGGCTATATAAAAAGGCTTGTTATATTAGCCGGAGTTTAGCAGCTCTGAAACAACCTTATGATAGAGCGCACAAATATAGAGCAGCTGTTATGAACAGTCAACTAATAGCCATTTAACGGCCGTGATCATGTCGTTACGATAATACATAATAGCCGTCTCAGCTTTTTTAGCCGGTTAATTAGTTTACCGGCTTACGCAGTGGGAGATTTATAATTCGCATCGTTTTGTCGTTTTAGAACCTAGAAATAGTGCTCAAAGCTAAGCTGGCTTTGTGGTTAAGTTTTGTAGTTGAAAAGTGTTTTTAATGTAGAGTGGGAGCTCTTAGGATTTATAATTGGCATCATTTAGTCGTTTCAGAACCCAGAAATAGTGCTCAAAGCTGGTTTTGTGGTTAAGTTTTGTAGTTGGAAAGTGTTTTTAATGTAGAGTACTGGGAGCTCTGAGGATTTATTATTCGCATCATTTAGCCGTCTCATAACCTAGAAATAGTGCTCAGAGCTGGTTTTGTGGTTAAGTTTTGTAGTTGGAAAGTGTTTTTAATGTAGAGTACTGGGAGCTCTGAGGATTTATTATTCGCATCATTTAGCCGTCTCATAACCTAGAAATAGTGCTCAGAGCTGGTTTTGTGGTTAAGTTTTGTAGTTGGAAAGTGTTTTTAATGTAGAGTACTGGGAGCTCTGAGGATTTATTATTCGCATCATTTAGCCGTCTCATAACCTAGAAATAGTGCTCAGAGCTGGTTTTGTGGTTAAGTTTTGTAGTTGGAAAGTGTTTTTAATGTAGAGTACTGGGAGCTCTGAGGATTTATTATTCGCATCATTTAGCCGTCTCATAACCTAGAAATAGTGCTCAGAGCTGGTTTTGTGGTTAAGTTTTGTAGTTGGAAAGTTTTTTTAATGTAGAGTACTGGGAGCTCTGAGGATTTATTATTCGCATCATTTAGCCGTCTCATAACCTAGAAATAGTGCTCAGAGCTGGTTTTGTGGTTAAGTTTTGTAGTTGGAAAGTGTTTTTAATGTAGAGTACTGGGAGCTCTGAGGATTTATTATTCGCATCATTTAGCCGTCTCATAACCTAGAAATAGTGCTCAGAGCTGGTTTTGTGGTTAAGTTTTGTAGTTGGAAAGTGTTTTTAATGTAGAGTACTGGGAGCTCTGAGGATTTATTATTCGCATCATTTAGCCGTCTCATAACCTAGAAATAGTGCTCAGAGCTGGTTTTGTGGTTAAGTTTTGTAGTTGGAAAGTGTTTTTAATGTAGAGTACTGGGAGCTCTGAGGATTTATTATTCGCATCATTTAGCCGTCTCATAACCTAGAAATAATGCTCAGAGCTGGTTTTGTGGTTAAGTTTTGTAGTTGGAAAGTATTTTTAATGTAGAGTACTGGGAGCTCTGAGGATTTATTATTCGCATCATTTAGCCGTCTCATAACCTAGAAATAGTGCTCAGAGCTGGTTTTGTGGTTAAGTTTTGTAGTTGGAAAGTGTTTTTAATGTAGAGTACTGGGAGCTCTGAGGATTTATTATTCGCATCATTTAGCCGTCTCATAACCTAGAAATGGTGCTCAAAGCTGGTTTAGTGGTTAAGTTTTGTAGTTGGAAAGTGTTTTTAATGTCGTGTTCGGTGTTTTATAACTCCCGACATGGCTGCACAACAGTCTCCCTTAAGAACACTTTCCACTGTTAATACAAATTATCATTTACGATCGTTGTTCTACCAATCTGCCTTAATAAATTCGTTCATGAATTCATACACTGTAAGTGTAGACTGTATTATTAGTGCCGTACATTTGATTAGCAATTTACTGGGCATGCGACTTAATTGTGCCATGATGTTGATAGTTGCCAAATTTCGGTAACAAATTAGGACTTAATTTGAGTTTACTGCACGCGCGATGAATAATTTGTGTTTATAGAGATCTGCGGCGCGTTATCAGGTTAACCAATGAAATCACGGCGTTTTCGTCACGTGACAGTCGAGTGTAGAGTGATTAATTATCATCCGTGCAGGTCTGAGGTCTGAAAGAATGCACCAAAATGATAAATAGGTAACGAAAATGGTCCATTGTTACCAATATTATATTGTGATTTCTCTCTGTGGAGACAGAGGTGCGAGAAAAATATTGTTGATATAAACAGTCTAGATCTTAACTTGGAGCCACAAGGCCAAGGGTAAAAATATTTTGATTGTTAAGGGAATTTTTTGAATTCTTAAAGGGTTGATTTTATATAGGGTCATTGCTATATTATGTGTATATTGTTTGAAATATTTGAAATATTATTGAACTTGAAACAAACAAATATATACACAACATTGTAAAAACATAATTTACTCCACCAGTAAAATGGCAACAAATATATTTATCTTCTTGCTTTATATATATTATATAGTAATATGGTTATCATTATCTCACATAGAGCTTACCTATTTCAAACGTTTTCTTACCTAGGGACCCCATAATATTCTGATTAAAGCTGCAGCGGAATGACACGCTGAGTACCGCCCAGTAAACGCTTTCAAATAGCATGGTTGTCTAAGATATTTTGAGATTCTCTCAAGCAAGCCCAGCAGGCTATTGGTGAGCTTGCCATAGAAGGACAGTTGTGTAGTGGAGACCCTAGGCTTTATGTTCATAATCGTATTGAACCGACTGAAGATGTGGCGGAATGACAGGCTGAGCGCCGCCCAGTCAGTGTAGTGTCTAAAACTATCTTATTTCTAATTAATAGATATGAGTGACCAGTGTGGAGTTTTTAGAAGAAATTATAGATCTTACTTAAAAGATATTTTGATACTTGTGGTGTATTTACTCTTGGTACAAACCTAATTTATGTTAGTATCTTTACTAGAGCTCGGTGCAAGTTTCAAAGAAGGCAAGTTAGAAACAATTCAAATCACTCCAAACATGATATTAAAGAGCCATATTAATGACCATCTGAAAAGCTTGTTTACAATTTTTCCTGCTGTAATTCTTCCAATTCGAGGGGGGGTGGGGGGATCATACACTTAGTACCGTATGTGACGTTGGGGGGTGGGTCATATTTTCTTCCAAAACACAGTTAGTACATGGTACATTCCCCAGAAAAACAGTTAGTACATGGTCCTAAGGGGGGTGTCCAATCCCAAAAAAACCATTTTACCTCAAATTTCAATTTTGGGAACGGGTTTTGAGTTTTTAAAAAGTTTATTTTGGGTTTTTTGAATTTTTTACTGTTTTTGTAACTTTTAATCTAATTCGACTACATTGAAAACAAAACCCCTACTAAATAGTGGGTATAATTTGCCCATTTCCCAATGTTTAATGAGCTGTTTAAAGCAATTTATGGGTGGGTATCTTATTTTATATACCAAGACACAGTTAGTACCGTGATTTCTCAACAGTTAGTACCACAAAAGCCGGCAAAAGGGGGTGGGTGTCTTAATTATGATCCGAAAAAACAGTTACTACCGCGAAGGGGGTGGGTGGATCTTTTGACAAAATTCCAAAATTACACTTAGGCGACATCACGTACAGAACTTAGTACCTGATCCCCCCCGGCCCCCCCCCCCCCCCCCGGTCTAGGGCAACTAAAATTTTGCAATGATTTTAGAATATTAAACCAAACTGACTTTCCAGATGGATCCTGAAAAGATAAAAATCAACTTTTATCTCGGTGAACCTCTTTATTTGGAGAAGGGGGTTTCTGTCAATGAAGTACTGTTAAAATGTGCAGAAAACAGGAAGATTTCAGTGAACTCAATGAAAGGATTTATGCTCATACAGGATGGTTTTTATCTTATTCCTGATAAGAAACCCATGGAAAGTGTCAGCAATGAGCCTATATACTATCGATATGTTGATTATCACACTGAAAGAGATTGCCTTTATTACATTGACAATTCTTGTTTTCAGTATATTTACCATCAGTATAAAAATGATGTAAGGGAGGGAAATGTTCCCAATGAAGCTGAGATTCTGGTAGAACTGTGTGCGATGGAGATTATGGTTATGGCTATGGTGTTTGGAGATTCTCAAAAGCCCCATAAGTATATACGGCACTACAAAGAATTGACTGAGCACCCTCTCTTAGATATGGAATCAAAAGAAGTCAAAGCTACCCTCACAAAAGCATTAAAAGATTTGAAAGATATAAGGACCGAATATGAATGCATGGAAAACTACATCCGAACTGTGGATAAGAATATAAAGGAGGTAAACAGATTCAATAAGGGTGTTTTCAGTGTATCTATTGATATGACCCTAAAGTCAGGGTTCAGTACTGGAAAGTTGCACATCTGCAGAGAAAAAATGGAGATACTGGGGGATAATGAGTCTGCTACAGAAGAGGACAGGAAATGTTTCATCAATCCAGCATCATTGAAACAGAATCGGCCAGAGCTACATAGCATAGAGTTTTCTTATCCCAATCTTTACATAAAAGCCTTTGAAAAAGATTTGAGGATTGACATATTGACTCAACGAAATTGGTGTGGGATCAAGTTCGCTCCTAATGAATCATCATCCGAAGATGATGGTCTGAATCAATACAAACAGTGGAGAAAATGTGTTGCAATGATGTTCTTCTATGCTAACTTAGAATATCCTCGTTCAAGAAAAGAACCCTGTCCTGCAGAAGTTGTTGATGAGAAAGGACGCCAAATTATTCTCCATGACAAGTCATGTCCCCTTATTGCCCCTAATCCACCTGTTCATTTTAAGCTCACCAGACAAGATGTCAGGATGATACTGAAGCGGTATGGCACTCAAGATGGTTGGTATATGTTTAACACATTTGATGCAGCTCCGAAGCTCAATGAAAATCAGACGACAGGGGAAATCTCGTTGAGTTACTGTATGGATGAACAGATTCATCAAATGACTGTCACATTTTCTCAAGAAATTGGATTTGGACCTCCTATATATAGAATCGATGCTTTTAGAGGAAAGAAATTTTGCTCCTTGTTTGAGCTCGCATCACACTTTTCCATCAACGGAAAACGACTTGAAAAATTTATTACAGACGCAATGGTTAAAGACATAAATATCCCAGGGCATATTTTTTTGCCGACAAACTGTATAAAAACAATAAAAACGATCGATGATTACAAACGTGGGACTTTCTATTCTCCTTTAGATGACTCAAAGCATAATGTTCGACTCATGCAGCTACCCAAGAATTTTTGGTATGGACTAGCAAACACGAGAGTTCTTGAAATTGAAAACATGGTCAGGTCTCTCTGTGATGCTAACTCAATTCATCAAAACCTCATCAGATTGTTTGGCATTTGCAATGACAACCAAGGTGAAAACGTGTGCCAGATAACTGAGGATTTTGGAGTGTGTCTGCACGACTATCTGAGAAACAAAGGTACCACCGACAGTCATGATATCCTGAAAATGGCTCATCAGATTGCTTCAGGAATTTATGGATTACATGAAAGGCAAATTGTTCACGGGTTCCCAGTTCTGCACAACTGTCTAGTGGACCCTATCACCAAAGTAGTGAAGGTAGGTGGTGTGGGTATTCTGAGGATTAGCATTGCTACTCAGCGTTTGGATGGAGAGAGATCCCAAATGAAAGAACAGCCGTCTTTCAAGTTGGAGACTGTCCCGGGGGAACCACGTTATCATCCCGCACGCTGGCTTCCTAAAGAATCACTTTTCGATCATCATTTCAACGAATTAACTGATAGGTAAAACAGCAAACAAATTATTTAATCTATGAAATATCTGACAGAGAAAAACAAGTACATATTAATAGTGGGCAAACTGAAATGCATGATTATCTCAAAACAATTATATTTGATACCACAAATTAGTTTTCCTTTTTCAATCACAAGAGTACACTCTGATGTATTAAAATTCCTCCAATTCTGCTTTAAATATCTTGATTAAAGTATGACTGTTAAATCAGGTGGTGTTTTGGAATAGTACTGTGGCAGATGTTCAACAAATCAGAGATTCCCCTGTCTGACGTTACTGATGCTCAACTTGTCGAGCTACTTCATCAGGTATTGTAATTGTGGAATTTTTCATTATTAATTCCTTGTTAGTTGAGACAACTTTGTATAGATGTTTTTACAGTAATACAGTGATAGCTTCAGGAATCAATGTTTAACTCCTGATCTTAGTTGGAACTATATATAATCTTAAACAATAATCTCAGAATGTGTGTGTGTGTGTGTGTGTGTGTGTGTGTGTGTGTGTGTGTGTGTGTGTGTGTGTGTGTGTGTGTGTGTGTGTGTGTGTGTGTGTGTGTGTGTGTGTGTGTGTCTGTCTGTCTGTCTGTCTGTGCGCATGTAATTTCCGAGCGGCTTAATCAAGAAAATGGTTAGAGTTATGGGACTGGTTTTTATAGTGCCGAGAAAACTCTGACGAAGCCAAATGATAAAGGTTTTTTAAATCGGTCGGTGGTAAGTGGTTTAATGGATGGTTTTATACCACAAATGTGACATAAAATGGCTCACTTTTTCTCCCTCCTCGCTCTCTCCCCCCCCCCCACCCCCCCCCCCCCCCCCCCCCCCCCCCCCCCCCCCATTACTGCATATGTAGCGTTAGTACATAAGTCATAATTAGGTTAGCCTCGATATTCACTGTCATCTAATACTATAAGCTTATTAGGGGGGAGGGGGAGCCACTCATCGCGGTCTGTTAGTTTACTTTCAATGCATGTTTTCAAATATAATAGGCGGGTGTGGTGCGGAGTTGATAAGGGTTAATTTCTAAAACGATTTAAATAGAAATGGAAAGCGGAAGTGAAATCCCGGCCGAAGGCCGTGTTACACTAGTGTATATAATAATATCACCTATCAAATGTTGGAGTAGTTCGCTGTTTATTAGTTTCATGATGAAATACTGATAGTTGGATAATATCCGGTTGAAAGAGACAGGGACAAATGAAACAGGAATTTAGAATTGTATACTAACATTTGTACCAATTATAGCCATAAGATGGCGTTGTCGCCGAAAATTTGCCCACAGTATCATCACCTATATCTCTCTATTCTCATATGTCTCAAAGTGACATCTTTGATATCATTAATTGTTTTTTCTTCAGGAAAAGGAGTATTGGTATAAAGTAGACTTGGAGGTGAAGCATGATAACAAGTCTCTTGAGGTCATGCTAGAGAAAACCATCGACCACTGTCTCAAACTTAGTTGCGTAAGTTATATCGTTCAGCAGCGCAGTATTATGTAACGTTGAGTTTAACACAACAAATAGATTACACGGTTTATATCTTACACTGAGTTTACTGACAATTTAAAATGTGTAATTCTAGAATTTCCCTCATAGAGGTTCTTACAGTTACATGGTCACCGGCAGGATATTATAATAATTATACAACATTATATTATTATATATACTATCAACTCATTTTGTGTATAGGCAAACATTCCTGCTAACTATGTATAATATTATGTTAATGTGACTAAAGTGACTCAATTTCAATCTGTACTCTGGTTTTCCGTCAAATTTATGATTTATTGAAACTTTGAAATGTGTTTGCAATTCTTGGTGGTGGCTATGTCTGCTCCAACACTATTGTCTTGAGAAGGAGTTTATCTTCATTTAACGGAGATTGCAGTGGCTAGCTTCTGATCTGCACTTATAATGTGCTGTTGTTGTTTCTGGCTAAGGAATTACATAAAACTTATTAAAATGAAGCTAAATGAACCAATTTTATCGATGTTAATTAATCGGGAGACTTTTCAACTTTATTTTATCTATCTTTGTAAAAATATGTGACTTGGTTGATTTTGAATTCACGTTAAGTTGTTGAGTTGTCTGTTTTTGTGAGAACAGACAAAAATATGAGATAATTAAAGAGTTCAGATCAAAGTTTTCGTTAAAATTTTGACGAGAAATTTGTTAGATTGAAACAAGGATGAAATGGCAGTACTCAGCGCAGAAAGAAACATCGAATTAACGAATCATCGAACGGCTTAATATGTAGTATTTCATAAGAGATCAGTAGCATTACGTAACCAGCCCGAGGGGGACTGCACTAATATAATTGTTGGTTCTACACTAAAAATATATGTGTAAAAAGTAATTATGGAGAGGCTGGGGGGGGGTTTGAAATGGCAAAAAATCCTTTAGCCGACGAATACAATAAGTGTTTTAAAATTAACATGAGTAGATCTCTAGGGGACGTAAATATATATAAAGTCAGAGAAAGTCAGGAGTTCTATATATAATTATACTAGAAACCCGCCAGTCGAAAGCTTTGTTCGAGGAAAATCAGTTATGTTTTAATTTCTATTCATCTAGCTCTGTTATATACCTATATACTGTAGAAATTATGGATTTTTTCGTCAAGTTTTAAATATCAATAGACATATTCTTGATAGTATTGCCTGAATAAATAGTATCTGGAGAGAAGATTTGTAGGATACAATACTTGAGTAGTCAAACAGTGTGCCTCGTGACGTGTAAAGCTGTAGGTACTTCGCACGACAATAGCTGGATAACGCAACATTGTTCACACACGTTTCGTGTACCTTCTTAGCTTATCAATTGCAATTTGCAGTGAATGGGATATCGACTTTGAGTAGGGAATTTTAGGACATGATTAGATCTTGTGATATAAAGTAACAATAGCTCATTGCATGTAATCCTCGACAAGCTAGTATATTTTTACTACAAGCTTACAGGAAAAATGTTTCATCCTTTTATTTTGTGCTCGATAGACTCGGCCTGGGTCAGCTGCCTTATAAATCGAAACATATGTATTCATTCCTATAGCCCATCGTATATACCTCATATTCACGCTGTTATCAATCTACCTTTATGTTCAAGGGGACAGTTTCAATATTTCGTATTATTGCAACCTGTTCCTGACCATACATTTTGGGCAGATTTTAAAGCTTTTTTCGAGTATTAGCGTTGTGCCTTATAACATGGTAAACACTAAGTTATCTGCTTACCTAGCTCATAGGCTTCCTCAACCTGTACATCCGCTAGCTGAAAGCTTTATTCAAGGAAATTTAAATCAGTTATGTCATAGTTTCTTGTCATCATCTATCTATCTATGATCTAGCTCCGTAATATAAATTGTATCGATTTTGATTTGCCGATAACGATAAAGGTTTATTTAAGTATTCCCTAATCGATACTTTTTACCGCATCAAAAAACATCAATCACAACCAAAGCAAAGTTATGGAGAGTCATAGCGTAAATTGTAATGTGAGCTAGTTATGACGTATCATAGCTCACATTTTAAACTAATTACAACACTACAAATCTATTACATTTATATTGAGAATTATGTAATGTAACGTGATGGAAATATTTTAAACGGGCATATCTTGTCCAAACCCAGGATGCACTACATAGCTACATGAAGAATTAGTTGTAACTTTGTTTGAAAAGCATTAATAGAGCATGGCAACGCGCGTTGCTAATCTGTTCTTCCTCGCGCACGTGCAAAATCTTGATGTTGCTAAGGCCTAAGCAACGGCGCAGGTAACCTTTGATGAAATTACGACATTATTCTAACGTTTATTTTACCTCACTTCCGACGTTAATTATAAAAAAATCTGAAGCCTTAATCAAAATTCTAAGAATGCTATATCCTATTCCTATCCTTTTTTTACAACCCTGCTAAAAATGGCGAAGTTTCAACTCCATTTGCGAGCTGAAATTGGTGACAACAGAGGGTCATTTTTATGTCGATTTTCAGTTTTTTTTTTCTATGTCCCAGTTGCTTGGGGGATTTTGTCAAAATATAATATAGATTATAGATGTAGCAGAGCGCAAAATATGCTGCAAAACAGCTTAATACAATACAATACAGTCCATACAATCATACTTGTATTACTGCACTTCTATGAAGTGTAAAAGTGTAAAGTTATACATTTTATACGAACTTTCAGATGAGTTATCCAGCACTTTAAGATGGAATTACATCACAGTATTGGAACGGCTAGTTTTTAATTAATACTGAAAACCTTTCTTAACATTGTGATTACCAATAATTCAAATCATAATTTTATCAGTAATTAAACGTCGTAACTAGATATTCTTAAGAAACTTACACAGCATAGGACCATACTGTAACCTTTTGCTCAGGTAGCTTCTTTATAAAGGTAACAGATGCAAACTGACAACAAGGCGCTTTATGAGCTATAAATGATGGCGCTGAGCGGTCAATTTTGTTACTGTTGAGCTTAACTCTTTAACTGTTCTTGAAGCGTCGCTCATAGGAGATAGTATCATACTCGTAGCAACCATTAAATACAATGCTATCAAACTGCACAAGGTGACGGTAGATGTGATAAAGCATCTGGCAATCTGTGATCTTCTTCAAACTCTATTCAGGGTTCTGTCAGTTACTTTGGCTCTAATCACAGATAGCTGGATGACAGGCGAGGTTCTCTGCCACGTTGAGGACAACATCAACTATTATTGTACAGGATTGACCATGATCCTAACATGCACCATTTCAACACTAAAGCTGCTTCTTGTGAAGTATCCTTTAACAACAAGATCCTCCCAGTTAGGAAACAAGGTCTGTGTGACTGTGTGGGTCTTGATGCTGGCTGGTTACACTCCAATACTTGCCGTAAACATGATCTACCTCCGAGAAACAGTCTACTTCAGCTACTGGGACTCTAATTATAACTATGACTCCTAAACAACTGGCAGTGTGCCAGCATGGTACCGGTGGTATTGCGTGATCTGTTACTTTGGTGTTAACATTGTCTCCTACACCACCCTCGTAGTGACATCAACCCTGCTTCTGGTGATAGCAAAGAAAACAGCTGGTAGCGCACATCTAGCGCACCGTTTCCACATAAAAAAAATTATTTTGAGAATACCCATTTTTGTAATCGAGCATTTCCTGGTTAGAGTGGAATTTTCGGAAAAACACAATCTGTTTCGTGGAGTGGCTATAAGTTAAGGCCAGAGGGGGGGGGGGGGGGGGTAAAAGTCGATTTTCCAGTTTTCACATATTTGATCAGAGCTGCTAGAGACGAACAAGAAGAAAAAAACCGGATCGAAATCGAGTTGATGAATCCAGATTTTTGGAACATTTTTGGAACATTTTTGGAACATGTGCCAAAATTGTGCCAAAAGTGTGCCATGCATTTATTTGCCCTAATAAGCTCTAAATAGTGCCAAAAATAATTGTAAATGATGGATATAGTTGCAAGCTAGGTCTAAGGGCCATCGAAAGTAGCATAACATTACCCAGGTTCATGGAATGAACGAAAATGAACAAAAATGAATATTGTCCTAAAAATGCTCAGAACGGTTTAAAATTGGTCGGAAAGTGTTTATATTGTTCCTAGGACCACTCAAACCAAGTTTGGGAATCACTGCATGTCTAGAACCGATGTTACCTATGTTCCAAAATGTTCCAATTTTGTCACAATAATCCTCCTGAGAATCCAGATTTTTGGAACATGGGCACATCGAAGTATTGGCTGTATTTAAGTGCTGGGAAGCCTCAATTCGGTTTTCTAAGATGGATATAGGTAAAAACTAGGCCTAAGAGCCATCAAAACTCAAATAACATTACCCAGGTTCATGGAATGAACGAAAATGAACAAAAATGAATATTGTCCTAAAAATGCTCAGAACGGTTTAAAATTGGTCGGAAAGTGTTTATATTAGTCCTAGGACCACTCAAACCAAGTTTGGGAATCACTGCATGTCTAGAAGAACCGATGTTACCAATGTTCCAAAATGTTCCAATTTTGTCACAATAATCCTCCTGAGAATCCAGATTTTTGGAACATGGGCACATCGAAGTATTGGCTGTATTTAAGTGCTGGGAAGCCTCAATTCGGTTTTCTAAGATGGATATAGGTAAAAACTAGGCCTAAGAGCCATCAAAACTCAAATAACATTACCCAGGTTCATGGAATGAACGAAAATGAACAAAAATGAATATTGTCCTAAAAATGCTCAGAACGGTTTAAAATTGGTTGGAAAGTGTTTATATTAGTCCTAGGACCACTCAAACCAAGTTTGGGAATCACTGCATGTCTAGAACCGATGTTACCAATGTTCCAAAATGTTCCAATTTTGTCACAATAATCCTCCTGAGAATCCAGATTTTTGGAACATGGGCACATCGAAGTATTGGCTGTATTTAAGTGCTGGGAAGCCTCAATTCGGTTTTCTAAGATGGATATAGGTAAAAACTAGGCCT